TTAAAGTTTTTAATAATTCATTCCTAAAAAACTGATCACAAATAATAGCTAAAAACGCCGAAAAGTCAATATTAAGGGAGTTATGGCCATTTTAAAGTTTGTAATAATTCATTGCTAAAAAACTGATCACAAATAATAGCTAAAAACGCCGAAAAGTCAATATTAAGGGAGTTATGGCCATTTTAAAGTTTGTAATAATTCATTCCAAAAAACTGATCACAAATAATAGCTAAGAACGCCGAAAAGTCAATATTAAGGGAGTTATGGCCATTTTAATTCATTCCTAAAAAACTGATCACAAATAACTGTTAAAAACGCCGAAAAGTCAATATTTAAGGAGTTATGGCCATTTTAAAGTTTGTAATAATTCATTCCTAAAAAACTGATCACAAATAATAGCTAAAAACGCCGAATAGTCAATATTAAGGGAGTTATGGCCATTTTAAAGTTTGTAATAATACTTTCCTAAAAAACTGCTCACAAAAAATAGCTAAAACGCCGAAAAGTCAATATTTAAAGAGTTATGGCCATTTTAAAGTTTGTAATAATTCACTGCTAAAAAACTGATCACAAATAATAGCTAAAAACGCCGAAAAGTCAATATTAAGGGAGTTATGGCCATTTTAAAGTTTGTAATAATTCATTCCTAAAAAACTGATCACAAATAATAGCTAAAAAGGCCGAAAAGTCAATATTAAGGGAGTTATGGCCATTTTAAAGTTTGTAATAATTCATTCATAAAAAACTAATCACAAATAATAGCTAAAAACGCCGAAAAGTCAATATTAAGGGAGTTATGGCCATTTTAAAGTTTGTAATAATTCATGCCTAAAAAACTGATAACAAATAATAGCTAAAAACGCCGAAAAGTCAATATTAAGGGAGTTATGGCCATTTTAAAGTTTGTAATAATTCATTCCTAAAAAACTGATCACAAATAATAGCTAAAAAGGCCGAAAAGTCAATATTAAGGGAGTTATGGCCATTTTAAAGTTTGTAATAATTCATTCCTAAAAAACTGATCACAAATAACTGTTAAAACGCCGAAAAGTCAATATTAAGGGAGTTATGGCCATTTTAAAGTTTGTAATAATTCATTCCTAAAAAACTGATCACAAATAATAGCTAAAAACGCCGAAAAGTCGATATCAAGGGAGTTATGGCCATTTTAAAGTTTGTAATATTTCATACCCAAAAAACTGATCACAAATAATAGCCAAAAACGCCGAAAAGTCAATATTAAGGGAGTTATGGCCATTTTAAAGTTTGTAATAATTCATGCCTAAAAAACTGATAACAAATAATAGCTAAAAACGCCGAAAAGTCAATATTAAGGGAGTTATGGCCATTTTAAAGTTTGTAATAATTCATTCCTAAAAAACTGATCACAAATAATAGCTAAAAAGGCCGAAAAGTCAATATTAAGGGAGTTATGGCCATTTTAAAGTTTGTAATAATTCATTCATAAAAAACTAATCACAAATAATAGCTAAAAACGCCGAAAAGTCAATATTAAGGGAGTTATGGCCATTTTAAAGTTTGTAATAATTCATGCCTAAAAAACTGATCACAAATAACTGTTAAAACGCCGAAAAGTCAATATTTAAGGAGTTATGGTCATTTTAAAGTTTGTAATAATTCATTCCTAAAAAACTGATCACAAAAAATAGCTAAAAAGCCGAAAAGTCAATATTTAAGGAGTTATGGTCATTTTAAAGTTTGTAATAATTCATTCCTAAAAAACTGATCACAAATAATAGCTAAAAAGACCGAAAAGTCAATATTAAGGGAGTTATGGCCATTTTAAAGTTTGTAATAATTCATTCCTAAAAAACTGATCACAAATAATAGCTAAAAACGCCGAAAAGTCAATATTAAGGGAGTTATGGCCATTTTAAAGTTTGTAATAATTCATTCCTAAAAAACTGATCACAAATAACTGTTAAAAACGCCGAAAAGTCAATATTTAAGGAGTTATGGTCATTTTAAAGTTTGTAATAATTCATGCCTAAAAAACTGATCACAAATAACAGCTAAAAACGCCGAAAAGTCAATATTTAAGGAGTTATGGCATTTTAAAGTTTGTAATATTTCATGCCTAAAAAACTGATCACAAATAATAGCTAAAAACGCCGAAAAGTCAATATTAAGGGAGTTATGGCCATTTTAAAGTTTGTTATAATTCATTCCTAAAAAACTGATCACAAATAAAAGCTAAAAACGCCGAAAAGTCAATATTAAGGGAGTTATGGCCATTTTAAAGTTTGTAATAATTCATGCCTAAAAAACTGATAACAAATAATAGCTAAAAACGCCGAAAAGTCAATATTAAGGGAGTTATGGCCATTTTAAAGTTTGTAATAATTCATTCCTAAAAAACTGATCACAAATAATAGCTAAAAAGGCCGAAAAGTCAATATTAAGGGAGTTATGGCCATTTTAAAGTTTGTAATAATTCATTCCTAAAAAACTGATCACAAATAACTGTTAAAACGCCGAAAAGTCAATATTTAAGGAGTTATGGTCATTTTAAAGTTTGTAATAATTCATTCCTAAAAAACTGATCACAAAAAATAGCTAAAAAGCCGAAAAGTCAATATTTAAGGAGTTATGGTCATTTTAAAGTTTGTAATAATTCATTCCTAAAAAACTGATCACAAATAATAGCTAAAAAGACCGAAAAGTCAATATTAAGGGAGTTATGGCCATTTTAAAGTTTGTAATAATTCATTCCTAAAAAACTGATCACAAATAATAGCTAAAAACGCCGAAAAGTCAATATTAAGGGAGTTATGGCCATTTTAAAGTTTGTAATAATTCATTCCTAAAAAACTGATCACAAATAACTGTTAAAAACGCCGAAAAGTCAATATTTAAGGAGTTATGGTCATTTTAAAGTTTGTAATAATTCATGCCTAAAAAACTGATCACAAATAACAGCTAAAAACGCCGAAAAGTCAATATTTAAGGAGTTATGGCATTTTAAAGTTTGTAATATTTCATGCCTAAAAAACTGATCACAAATAATAGCTAAAAACGCCGAAAAGTCAATATTAAGGGAGTTATGGCCATTTTAAAGTTTGTTATAATTCATTCCTAAAAAACTGATCACAAATAAAAGCTAAAAACGCCGAAAAGTCAATATTAAGGGAGTTATGGCCATTTTAAAGTTTGTAATAATTCATTCCTAAAAAACTGATCACAAATAATAGCTAAAAACGCCGAAAAGTCAATATTTACTGAGTTATAGCCATTTTAAAGTTTGTAATAATTCATTCCTAAAACACTGATCACAAATAATAGCTAAAAACGTCGAAAAGTCAATAATTAAGGAGTTATGGCCATTTTAAAGTTTGTAATAATTCATGCCTAAAAAACTGATCACAAATAACAGCTAAAAACGCCGAAAAGTCAATATTTAAGGAGTTATGGCATTTTAAAGTTTGTAATATTTCATGCCTAAAAAACTGATCACAAATAATAGCTAAAAACGCCGAAAAGTCAATATTAAGGGAGTTATGGCCATTTTAAAGTTTGTTATAATTCATTCCTAAAAAACTGTTCACAAATAATAGCTAAAAAGGCCGAAAAGTCAATATTAAGGGAGTTATGGCCATTTTAAAGTTTGTTATAATTCATTCCTAAAAAACTGATCACAAATAAAAGCTAAAAACGCCGAAAAGTCAATATTAAGGGAGTTATGGCCATTTTAAAGTTTGTTATAATTCATTCCTAAAAAACTGATCACAAATAAAAGCTAAAAACGCCGAAAAGTCAATATTTAAGGAGTTATGGTCATTTTAAAGTTTGTAATAATTCATTCCAAAAAAACTGATCACAAAAAATAGCTAAAAAGCCGAAAAGTCAATATTTAAGGAGTTATGGTCATTTTAAAGTTTGTAATAATTCATTCCTAAAAAACTGATCACAAATAATAGCTAAAAAGACCGAAAAGTCAATATTAAGGGAGTTATGGCCATTTTAAAGTTTGTAATAATTCATTCCTAAAAAACTGATCACAAATAATAGCTAAAAACGCCGAAAAGTCAATATTAAGGGAGTTATGGCCATTTTAAAGTTTGTAATAATTCATTCCTAAAAAACTGATCACAAATAATAGCTAAAAACGTCGAAAAGTCAATAATTAAGGAGTTATGGCCATTTTAAAGTTTGTAATAATTCATTCCTAAAAAACTGATCACAAATAACTGTTAAAAACGCCGAAAAGTCAATATTTAAGGAGTTATGGTCATTTTAAAGTTTGTAATAATTCATTCCTAAAAAAACTGATCACAAATAATAGCTAAAAACGCCGAAAAGTCAATATTTAAGGAGTTATGGCCATTTTAAAGTTTGTAATAATTCATTCCTAAAAAACTGATCACAAATAATAGCTAAAAACGCCGAAAAGTCAATATTAAGGGAGTTATGGTCATTTTAAAGTTTGTAATAATTCATTCCTAAAAAAACTGATCACAAATAATAGCTAAAAACGCCGAAAAGTCAACATTTAAGGAGTTATGGTCATTTTAAAGTTTGTAATAATTCATTCCTAAAAAAACTGATCACAAATAATAGCTAAAAACGCCGAAAAGTCAATATTTAAGGAGTTATGGCCATTTTAAAGTTTGTAATAATTCATTCCTAAAAAACTGATCACAAATAATAGCTAAAAACGCCGAAATGTCAATATTAAGGGAGTTATGGCCATTTTAAAGTTTGTAATAATTCATTCCTAAAAAAACTGATCACAAATAATAGCTAAAAACGCCGAAAAGTCAATATTTAAATTCATGTTTTTATAACCTTCTTAACCATCTTCTGCAAAGGGGTATGTATTTTGTATGTAATCGGAATTATTGAAAATAATTGCAAAATATGCCCACTCATCTTCAAATCAATTACTATTCAATTGTAGTTGCAAATTTAGAATACATAACAATTGCTTTCAAGGACATGCATCGACATATCCTTATATAAAGCACCTACCATCACTGAATCGTAGCAGTTCGAATTAAAAAGTGAAATCGTGAAAGTATCGGATTATAAAAATGTTCGAAGATATTCCATTGATTTATATGAATGTGAAAATTCTTAAATTTTGGTCTCTCCTCTACGACCATAATTGGCGTCGTTATGTCACCCTTATACCGCCGACATTTTTGGTATTCACCCAATTTTATTATATGTTCATGACCGAGGAGGGTATTGATGCCATCATCAGGAATTCCTATATGTTGGTGTTGTGGTTTAATACCATTTTAAGAGCATATATTCTCATTAAAGACCGTGTGGAATATCAAAGTTTGTTACAAGATTTGGAAGCGTATTTTTATGACCTTGATGTAAGTTGAAAATTTGTTCTGTAATTGACATTGACAGTCATGGGAAGATATCAAATTTCAGTATCTTCTTCTTCTAATCCCACCATATTTAGTTATTTTTAGCACCTTTTTTATTTCAAATTTCCGAAAATACAACAACATATCCTATATCCGCCGGAAAACCTCCTTTTAATTTTCAACTTGTTTTTTTATTTCTGGTTTACAGAAATCCAACGATGTGTATGTTCGAAACCTTCTGAGCCACGTCAACTCCAATGGCAAGGTTATGGCTCGTGGCAATTTATTTTTGGGTCTTCTAACTTGCATTGGTTTCGGCCTCTATCCGTTGTTAGCCGCCGAAAGAGTTTTACCATTTGGCAGCATTATACCTGGCATCGATGAATACCAATCGCCATTCTATGAATGCTGGTACGTCTTTCAAATGCTGATCACACCGGTTGGATGCTGCATGTACATACCCTATACAAGTTTGATTGTTTCATTCATCATGTTCGGCATTGTTATGTGCAAATATTTGCAACGTCGTTTGGCAACGTTGAGCCGATTTAAAGGTCAGCCCGAATGGATATATGATGAAGTTATTGAGTGTATTAAATATCAGAAGAAAATCATTGAGTAAGTATCAAGCTGAATTGGAATAAGTTAATAAGCAGTAAGTTCGGCCGGGCCGAACTTTGAGTACCCCCCAACATTTGGAAGGAATTTGGAAATTTGCAAAAAATAAAATCCGTTAAAAATTCTGTTAACATCTTAAAAATACCGAATGTAGCTGTTATATTAGGGTCTATACGACGACATGGACCTACATAGGCCTTGTTTGTCATCAGCCATTACCAAATTCAAATTCGAAACTTGAAATAAACGGTGAATAATGTAGCTAAAATCATCAAAATACCGTATATAGGGAGGTTATATCGGAGCTATATGAAGACCTGGACCTGCATAGACAACTCATTGTCACAGGCTGTATCATCTATTACGAACTTCAAATACGACATTTCAATTTCGGTGAGTATTGTATCGTCAAAATACCTAATATAGGGAGCTACTGATCACAGACTTTAGTTCCCATTACGAACGCTAAAATCGTCTAACGAATATCGGGAGGTACCGTTATATTGACAATTTTCTGTCTTAGGCTGTAGTATTCATTGCGAACTTCAAATACCAAATTTGGAAAGATTCCGGAGAATAATGTCGCTAAAATCATCAAAATACCGAATATAGGGAGGTACCGTTATATCGGAGCTATACGAAGACCTGGACCTGCATACCCAATTTTCTGTCACAGACTTTAGTTCCCATTACGAACTCTAAATACGTAATTTTAAACTACTCCGGTAAATAATGACGCTAAAACCGTCAAACGAATATCGGGAGATACCGTTATATTGACAATTTCCTGTCATAGGCTGTAGTATCCATTGCGAACTTCAAATACCAAATTTGAAACAATTCCGGTGAATAGTGTCGCTAAAATCATCAAAATAACGAATATCGGGAGGTACTGTTATATCGGGGCTATACTAAAACGTGGACCTACATGGCCCATTTTTAATACCAAAAGTTCTGCACACATAATATATATTTGAGTAAAATTTTATCAACCTACTTCAATTCGTTCGGAAGCTAGAGTGATTTCCACAGACGGACGGACATTGCTAAATCGACATAGAATTTTATGCTGATCAAGAATATATGTCTGAAATGTATATTTCGAAGTGTTACAAACGGAATGGCAGATTGAGAATATATATATACCCTCCTTCTTATGCTAAACGTATAATTAATTTTGACTAATTTCGTTAATCATACGCCCTGAACATTTTCTAACCTATTAAACACTAATTTTTTCCAGATATTGTGAAACTGTGAACCGTTTAACAACTTTCATGTTTCTTTTGGAATTCGTGGCTTTCGGAACACTGCTCTGTGCTTTACTGTTTCTCTTGATATTTGTAAGTCATGACAATTGTGCAATAGAACTCTTTCACCTCATATATTTCATAAATTATTTTGTGTACTCTTTTGCAGGTTGACTCCGCTGCCCAGGCAATCATTGTGTGTGCCTACATAACTATGATATTTTGTCAAATTTTGGCCCTGTATTGGTATGCCAATGAACTAAAGGAGCAGGTAAATATTTATCACATTTTTTTTTTCTAAGGATAACACAGAAATTCGCTTACCTTCTCGAAAAAATATGGTTTGCCGTGCCTCTAAAATAGGCAAATATTCATTGAGAATAAGACAACACGAAAGGCGAATTGAAAAAAAATTTTGCAAGTAATAAATCAAAGAAATGTAGTTTCTGGCAAACTTCAAACCACAGACGGGTTTCTAAAATGAAAAGAAATACACAATTGTTTGACTTTATTTTCAAAGACAAAAAATATACTTTTGTCGTGACAACAAGGATTTATGAAACTATTTTCAAAACACAATTTTTCATATTTTCCATAGCAAAATTATTTCATACCAGAAACATGCTTGTACGCATGGTACAATAAAAAGGTAAAGTAGAGCTACCAGCTTATTACAATTTTTTTCTAAGTGTGCCCGACTTCTGTCAATTTTGTGTATGTGTTTATTGTTTTGCAAAAAAAAAAAACAAAATATGTTCAAAACCAATGATTGGAAGACATGTAGATTGCGGCTCGTGCATTAAAACTATTAACCAGTTTAGCCATGAAATTGAAAGATTAAACAGTTTGGATCATATTTTTGAGAGAAAATCTAGGCATTTCATTCATTTTTCGCGCTATTTAACTTATTTTAAAAATGAGGGAAGATATGAAGCTGTTCTACCTCCTTATTGTACCATGCTTGTAAGAAATAAACGGTATATAAACGATATATCTAATGATTTATTTCACAAGAAAAAGTTTAAATTTTGCAAAAAGCATTTTGATTACAAAGGAATTTGGATATTTTCTAAAAAAATGGTTACATACCTCACTTTGTATGAAATATGTAGTAATTTTAAAAAATTTTTGAAATGTGGTGATGCACCAGATATAGTCGACCGAAGTTTTCCATTTTCATACTTCATCCAATACAGATAAATATGCGAAATCATGGTACAATAAGGAGGTAGAACAGCTTCGTAAAACTACATAAATACAACCCTGAGGCTAGGCCGCTTCCTGTCAGAATAATTCAAAATTATATCCAACAAGTTGTTTTCATTTATTTGATATTTTTTGTTCATTTTTAAAATGAGTCAAATAGCTCGAAAGATGAATGAAATGCCTGGATATTTTCTCAAAAATATGATCCTAAGTTTTCAATCTTTCAATTCCGTGGTAAATCTGGTTAATATCATTAGTGAGCGCCTTGCAATTTAAACTTCTTCCATTCATTGGTTTTGAAAATATTTTGTTTTTATTTTTCAAAACAATAAATACATACACAAAATTGTCATAAGTCGGGCACACTTAGAAAAAAATTGTAATAAGCTGGTAGCTCTACCATACCTTTTTATTGTACCATGTGCGAAATCATAAATTTCCATATTCATCCCAGGTTTTACAGTTCTCAAGAATCGCTGACATTTTTCGCAAGTTATGACAGATAAAAGTATTGAAAATCGTGACTATGGTTGAGGTTCCAGAAGGGGTTCGCAGATCTTTTGTTAACAAAATTGTTTGTATGTGTGAAATTTAAAGAGAGTTGGATCCATATTTCGTTTTGGTCAGGGTATTATGTATTTGTGAATTTGTTTGTAACAGGCAAAAGAAAACGAGATAGACCCATAGTTCCTTTCGATGATCTGCATAGTCGATTTATGCATGTCCGTCCGTCTGTCCATGTATTTTTGTAAACAAAGTACAGTTCGCATTTATTGCCCTATCCAGATGAAATTTTGCACAAATTATTTGTTTGGCCCAAGGACGAACTCTATTGAAATTGGAGGTAATCCGTCAAAATTAGAATATAGCTCCCATATATATCTTCGTCCGATTTGCCTTTTATTGTGCACCAAACGTGTAATATCAGTCCGAATAGTATGGAATTTTGCACGTACGATCAGATTGGACCTGAAAATAAGTATGCCAAATTTGATCGAAATCGGTTAAGATATAGCTATAGCTCCCATATATATTGTTCGTCCGATTTGTTATTTTTGTCCTCCGCAGCCCTAATATACACTCTGTAACCACAATATTTGGGAAAATATATCAAATACAGCTCAGAAATACATTTGCTAAATTTTATCGAGATCGGTTCAGATTTGGAAATAGCTCCCATATATAACTTCGTCCGATTTACCTTTGATTATGCACCAAACGTCTAATATTTGCCCAATTTGGATGAAATTTGGCACTTACGACCGAATTGAGTCTAGAAACTAGTATGTCAAATTTGGTGAAGATCGGTTGAGATATAGCTATAGCTCCCATATATACTCTTCATCCGATTTGTTATATTTGTTACCCACAGCCGTAATATGCACTCCATAACAACGATATTCAGGGAAATATATCAAATATTGCTCAGAAATATTTTTGCCAAATTTTATCGAGATCAGTTCCAAGCTCCCATACATATTTTTATCCGATTTCAAATTAATTGTGCACCAAATGGGCAATACAAGTCCAAATTTAAAAGATACAAATACTTCGGCATATTTAGTCTTTTGAACTTTAAATTATAATTATAATCATAGCGTGTATGATTGAATTCTCCCATAAACACTTTTAATTGTTATGCGGAGCTCTACTAAATTAGCAAAGTGGTGTAGGGTATCATAAAGTCGGCCCCACCCGACTTTAAGACTTTCTTTAATGATTTTTTTTTTGCTTTTTAAAATCTTGAACTCTATGTGGGGGAGGTACAAAAATAAATCTAACACCTTTATACAGTGGTTTCTATTTACCTGCATCAACATTAGCTGCGCATTGGCCTTTGCAGATCAAAAAACTTTTTTTATGCCATTTTTTTCTGAATCCCTTTATTTGAATTGTATTTAAATGCCCAATCGATAGCTGCACATTGGACATTCCTGCCTCGACATTTTGGTATTTTTTTTTTAATTTGGTTACAAAAGTTGTATTTATCTGCACAAGAAAATTTTTTGCAAACTCAAAAAAGACGCTAAAAACTACCACTTCGTTTTTGTTTTTGTATTCGCAAAAACAATAACAACACAAGAAAAGATCATGCATTAAAAACATATTCTCGCTTCCTCTCCCACACTAAAAGATGATTATGCTGCTGCTGCTTTGTTGTGCACGAATAGAAAATTAAAGATAACTGCACTTTTTGTGCACGTAAGTAAAATTAAAGATACCTGCTTCATTGTGCAGATAAATGCAATGAAGCTACCTGCATTTTGGGCATTGCTGCACGAGATGTCGTGCAATTTTTGATTGTGCAGGTAAGCAAAAAATACTGTAACAAAACTTGTGTTTATGTAAATATTGCGATGTACCAAGTCTAAATGGATGTTAATTTCGAGTTTAATGAGCTTCATGGATATTCAAGACGTTGTCCCTTTTTGGGTGATGTACCGGAAGGAGTGGATATATATTCCATCGATATATTCTATATTCACACTAGTATTGGGATTCTCAAACTCATTATTTGAGTTACAGACAAAAATCGGTAACTTTGAAACCCAAAATTTTGATATAAAAATAAGTTTAAGTTGACAACATTGGTTGACAACATTGGTATCTTAGGTAGGTAGGTCTTAGCGACTACTTTGATTTCGTCGCTAAATTACTAACAAATTTCGCTAATTACCGAAATAATAAGCTTTTTAATATTACCTATTTTTGCCGGTATCTCAAAAAATGATTTAGAGAATTCTACTGGAGACCTTGGGTTACTAAAAATATTGTGATGTGTGTAATTTGAAGACAATAGGACTCTTACATCACATATTATACATGTTATAATTATTCAAAATTTTGGCCCTTTTGTGGTGAAGATACTTCGCACCTGTAGGAAGTACCAGAAGGATAGGACCGATATTGACCTAAGTTTGATAATAATATTACGATATACCAAATTTGGACCACACCGGATACTCCCTCCGAGAGTTATCGTGCGCACCAGCCAGACATACAGACACCGTAAACCGTAATGTTGGGTTTATGGCTACGGAGATGTTATATGTCACGTCTAATTGAACCTTTAATGAGCTGCAGTTTAGAAACATAAATCCAACATTAAATACTCATAATGTTCACTCACCTTGCATTATCTTCTTCACATTTTCGTTCTCACATTAAACTCTCCTCTCACTAATCTTATTTAATTTAAATTTCTCCCAATTAAAAACCCATAACGTTGGCTAACCATACATTATTTTCTTCACATTTTCTTTCTCACATTAAACTCTTCTCTCACTAATCTTATTTCATTTACATTTCTCCCAATTAGAATCTCTCAATTGCGGCCGCTGCATATGAAACTGAGTGGTTTACGTATGAAATACCTGTTCAAAAGTTAATTCTCTTGATGATAATGAGAGCACAGAAACCATGCACGGTAAATAATGCAAAGAAAATAGAATTAAGCGCCCAATAGCAAATTAGCTTTGACAATTCACATTATGTTCAAATGACACACATGTCAATACAATTAAAATAAGAGTTAAGCGCCCATCTTGCTCACGATCAAAGCATAAATGTAATTGGTTTTAATGACGCCAACGACGAATTGCCTTGCACTTTAAATTAAATTTTAATGGAGAAAAAAAGAAATTTAGCAAGTGTGTCTGCTGCCATGTGTCTTGTGTCATGTCACGCCGATTAATCGGGCTGCGTGAAGTTGTTGCATTTGTGGTGAAGTGTGTCGATGTTGCAATGTACAGTATTGCATTGTTAAAAATAACCAATTTCATAAATAAGTAAAGAAAAACATTAAAAACACATAAAAAAAAAAGAAAATTAAAATCCGGTCAATACAAAATGAGGTTGCCGTATGTTTTACTTACTGTTCATCTGGTTCTTAAAACCGTGTTCGACTGTATTTTCTCTTTTAATAGATAGTAAACGAAATTCTACATTGAAATACTAATTTTTTCCTTTCTTCTTTCCTCTTGCAGATCAAAGTTGGTAACATTTATCCGATGACATTGGAATTATTTCAGGCTCTGCTTAATGCCTCATATTCTTATTTTACTCTTTTAAAGCGTGTTTATGGCTAATCGATTTGCGGAAAATGAGCTTACTGCAACATGTTTAAATAATTCACTACTAATGCACTATACACAATAGGTATAAAGAATACAACTTCGATTATTTGGCTTTTTGTTTATTGCAGTCACTTGATTGGATTATAATATCGCATATTATCATCCCAGAATGATTTAATTTTCGATTTTGCTGGCCACAACATTACAGATATCCAAAATATTTATGAAATTCGATATTAATAATAATGTTGAAACTAGATAACGACGAGGGAGGATTAGCGTTGGCAGAACAGATTGAATGCTCCATATTCGGAAGAGAGGAGTATCGCAGTTCCCTTGATGTCCCATGGCAGATGTATATCATCTTCACAACAGATCTTACGTTAGCAAAAATATTTGGATGTGTGAAATTTGAAGAGAGTTGGATGTTTATTTCGTTTTCTTTGAGCGTTTTGTTTTTTTTTAAATCTTGATCCCTATGTGGGGGAGGTACCAGAAGAAATGGTGCGATCTCTACCGTCTATATAACAGATCTTGTGTTGATGGAAATATTGAGATGTACCAAGTTTGAATGGAATCGGATCTTAATTTCGAGTTTTATGAGATATATGGATATTCAAAATTTTGACAATTTGTGGGGAAGGTACCAGAATGAGTGTATCTATATATCCCATCTTCACACCAAACCTTGGGTTAATAAAAATATTGTGATGTGTGCATTTTGAAGAGAACCGGGATCTTATTTTGGATTTTATGAACTCTTTAGTTATTCAAAAGTTTGACCCTTTAAGGGGGAGGTACCAGAAGAAATGGTCCGATCTGTACAATCTTTATAATATACTTTGTGTCAATGGAAATATTGAGATATACCAGGTCTGAATGGAAATGGAAGTTAATTTCGCTCATTATGAGTTTCATGGATACTCAAAATTTTGACCCTTTGTGGGGGAGGTACCAAAAGGAGTGGATCGATATATTCCATCTTCACACCAGACATTGTGTTAATAAAAATATTGTAATGTGTGTAATATCTTACATCACATTTTATAAGATTTATAATTATTCCAAATGTTGACCCTTTGTAGGGGAAATACTTGATTGAGTGGACCGATATTGTTAATTTTCGCATCTGATGCACTGCACTCATGCAAATATTAGGATATGTAAAATTGAAGCAAAATCGGATTAACATTTCTCTTTCTGTGCAGTAAATTATTTTCGTTGGAAAAATTGACAAGTTCCATAATAATATTGCGATGTAGGGTAAGTGTGCCTAAGTTCGGCAAGTAGTCGGCACTTTTTATTTGTAAATGAAACTTTTATAATTAAATGTATTTTGTTTACTTCAAATATATTGTCAGCTATCTTTGTGTACAATTTCGCTAGGAAAAGATGATTTATTCTAATAAAAAATAAATTTTTGTCTGTGAAGGTCCTCAACAATCCATATTCTTAAGAAAAGTACAATAAAGACGTCGAATAAGTTTAACTAAACAAAAATATTATATTTTAATGAATTAATTTATTATTATTATTAATTATTCTTACAAAAAAAAATGGTATGCCGACTGTTGGAACATGCCATACCGACAATTGGCAAGTGGTGCCGACTACTGGCAAAAAAGCATTGTTTTAATAAAACTACAAATTTATGAAATTTAATAAAAAGTAATTAAAACTTTATTTATTATTGCCAAAACTATACAAAATTTCAAATTTGAATAAATTAACTTGGTAATAATTGAAAAGTTCCACTCAGAATGATGAGCGGTTAAAAACGCGAAAATCCTAAAGGTGCCGACTACTGGTACACTTACCCTACCAAGTTTGGTTCAAATCAAATACTCCCTTCGAGAGTTATCGTGCTCACCATCCAGCCAGACAGACGGACGGACATCGTTAGATCGACTCCAAATGTCCTGAAACGGATTTGGTCCAAAGAGACCTAGAGTCTAAAACCGTTTTTTCCAATGATGCACTTTTTGGTCGTATCTCTAGCCATATGACTGAGGGTTTAAAAATAATACAAGATTCTCAAGATGTTACCTGTCCAATATTCTCAATTTTGACCGAAGAAAAATGATTTTTCGCTGTTGAATTCTCATCTACACATGTTTACATCTACACTAATTAAATAGTAGCAATATCGATTCAATCCTGAGGAAGATTCAAAATTTCCAGGAAGAATACAAATATCTCTTATCAAGTGAAGGGAAACAAATTTGAACTATCCTGGTTACATATAGTTTAAATTTGGCATATCATAAAAGTCATATCAGTCTATGTTAGGAGCGGAAAAAGAAACTCCTTCTCATATCTTCGCAAAGGGTAAACATTTTGAATAATTATAACTGTTTTTATTTAAAAAAAATAGTCTATACTGAAGCTAGTGTGAAAATATAATTTATCAGTTCACTTCTTCTGGTACAAGCACCCCCCCCCCCCCCCCCCAAAAAAAAAAAATGCCATACAAGTATCTCTTATAAAATAAATGAAGTCCCCGATATACTACTCATTGTAAAATTTTAGGTAAAGAGCGTTCATTGGAAATCATGGAAAATATTTTCGTACCTCAACCCAAAGAGTAAACATTATGAATCATAATAACTCTAGTTAATGTGAAATTGGATCAAGCTGTGATTTTTCTTTTTACTCCTTCTGGTATCTTACCCGTAAATATAATAAATAATTCTCATCACTTTTGTAAAATGAGAAATTATTCCCCAGTTCTCTTCAAATTTTATGTGAAGTTGGTATATCCAATTATCATCCATCATTTTCAAAAGAAAACCTCCATGCATTGTAAAATTTCAACAACCTATCGTGGTTTCAACAGAAGGATATGGCAAAACCGGCATAGAATGAAAGCTGGTCAAAAATATATATGCATTACTTTGATGAATATTTCGATCATCATTTTTTGTGATGAAGGATATAAACAGATCAAGGACACAAGAGCAGTCTCAGCTGCCGCAGATCTTTTTTGGGAAGATGGCTGAGCAGTGGTGGGACAGCAATACAAAATCTGAATTGCCTATGAACTGTGCATTGCTAGGTCGACATTAGAAAGCTGTTTAGAGGATTCCTCCATAAACGTAATCTGAAAGTATTCGAATTGAGTTTTGGAAAAGGACTTTAGGGATAGTATCTTATCGAAAAATAGTTTTGTATACTTACCATTTCCTCTAGTCCCTCGCCTTATTTTTTGCGATATTAAAATGGACTATTTAGGCAAATAATCGAGGTTGAATTATGAAGTAGTAGCACCTGCACTTAAAATAATGAAAAAATATTATACAAACCTTTTTTGCCCAATAAACTAACTGCACATAAATAAAATAACATTAAATGTTCAATCCAATTTTTTTTTATTTATAATGTCATTTAATTTCATTCATTTAACCATTTTTAATATTCACTCTAATTTAAAATAATAAAGTCATTTAAAAAGAGTAAAAGGAATTATGTTTCGGTAGATCCGATATATTTAAAATGCATTAAAATTTTAAGAATATCTGAAATCGGTGAATACCATTGCACGGACCTTATACCAAAACATGAACACGTATTGGCAGCTAATTCTGTTGAGTCGATATCAAGGCAATTCCGATTAAAAATTTAAAGTTTTTTTTTAAAAAGAATGAACGAAATTTTATTTCAAACGGACCGATCTTTGAAATAGGAGAGTATCGGATAAATACGGATTTTGTACAAAAACATGGAGCTGTTCTGTCGCCAAAAAAGTCAAAACGTAAACAATAAACCAGTAAGGAAAAGTCAAAAGTCGGCCGGGACGATATATGATACCCTACACCAGTATGCATATTTAGTAGAGCTTCCACCTATCAACATTTGGCTTTAGAGCAGTTATACTTTGGTTTCAGAGGGAACTAATATATGGGAGACATGCCCAATTCTGAATCGGATTTCACTGATTATAATCGATTTTCGAGAAGGATTTAATTAAAGGAATATATACCGGAGCCGGATTCCACAAAATGGAAACCTCCCGAAATTCACTCCATTTGGGCTGATTTAGAATATATATAGGGGAGCTATATCCAAATCTTAGAGAATCTCGATAAAACTTGGCAAAGGCGTTTCCGAGCTCTATAAGATATCTGGTATAAAATACCATTGTTTTCCAAAGCATATTACGAATGTGAGGGACTTAAACACCAAATCAGATGAAACATATATGTATATGCGAGCTATAGCTATATCTGAACTGATTTTCACCAAATTTGATGTACTTGCTTTTAGACTAAATTCGGTTGGACGTGCCAAAATTCGGGTCATTTGGACTGATATTGATATTAACCCGATATTAACCCGAAATCGGAAGAAGATATATATGGGACTTATATCCAAATCTGAACCGATCTTGATAAAATTTGGCAGAGGCATTTCCGAGCTCTATAAGACATTTGGTACCAAATATGTCGTATGCATATTACGAATGTGAGGGACTTAAACGCCAAATCGAATGAAACATATACAGGGTGAGATGAAAAAACTGCACTCAATTTCACACTGCTGTCATTTATAAGCCTCTCGTCCGACAGCTGTTAAAATTATTCCAGTGACAGCTCATTATATTGTTTACAAGCGTTCAAAAGCATTTAGCTGAGAATTTTCCCGAAAAAAAGTTATTCGTGATGAAATTGAAGCGTGATAGAGTGATGTCTTCATATTTGGCTGGAAAATCACAAGTGTCTATCGTTAGAGCACTCCAACATTTAAATGTGAATAAATATTTTGTGTCTCGTACCATCGCTCGTTATCCTAATACTGGTAGCGTAGACCGACGTCAAGGAAGTGGACGGAAGAAAACAGCAACATCAGCAGAAATGGTTCGAAAGTAAAGAAGTGACTGAGCTGAACATATCGCAATATTTCATTCGGCAAATATTGAAAAATGAGCTCGGGGTAAAGCTATGGAAATTCCAAAAAGTGCAAGAACTTACACCGCAACAGAAAGAAAATATACTCAAAACAGCTAAAGAGTTGCTTCGCTTGACCGAAAGTGGTGAACTGCGAATTTGGTTTTCTCCGATGAGAAAACATTCGTTGTCCAGCAGTTTATAAACAAACAAAACGATCGTGTTTACTTGCCAAAGAAGTCAGCTGAAAATGTGCCCTCCACCATTTGGAACGAATTTGGCAATTCTCAAAAATAATAAAATCCGTAAAAAAGTCCGTTACAATCTTAAAAATACCGCACGTAGCTGTTATATTAGGATCTATACGACGACATGGACCTGCATAGGTAACACTTGCCATAAGCCATTACAATATTCAAATGCGAAACTTAAAAACCGTTATATGGGGCTATACGAAGACGTGGACCCGCACAGACAATTTTCTTTCTCAGGCGGTAGTATCTATTTCGAACTTCAAATACCAAATTTTAAAAAATTCCGGTGAATAATGTCGCCAAAATTATCAAAATACCGAATATCGGGAGGTACCGTTATATGGGGGCTATATGAAGATGTGGACCTGCACAGACAATTTTCTGTCTTAGGCTGTAGTATACATTTCGAACTTCAAATACCAAATTTTAAACAATTCCGGTGAATAATGTCGCTAAAATCATCAAAATACCGAATATCGAGAGGTACCGTTACACGTGAACCCACATGGTCCATTTTCAATCCCAAAAGTCCTGCAGACATAATATACATTTGAGTAAAATTTTATCAATCTACTTCATTTCGTTCGGAAGCTAGAGTGATCTCACAGACGGATAGGTGGACAGACGGACGGGCATCGCTAAATCGATATAGAATTTTATGCTGATCATGCTGATAAAATGTATATTTCGAGGTGTTACAAACGGAATGACAAACTGAATATGCCCTCCATACTATGGTGGAGGGTATAAAAATGTCGGCAGAAACAACAATGTATGGTATATAAGAGTTAATCCTTAGCTGTTTCTAAGAAACTTTTTAAGTCAATCAATTTAAAATGACGATGTCGAATGCGAGAATTCTGCCTCATATTCAAATTCATTTCGATACAAGTTATATTTAAATACCAGATACAGGGATTTAGCCCAGAGATACGCACGGAACTTTTATTTGGTATTTGTTTTCAATTGACAATGTTGCATTCCAACGGACATTTCCAGAGCAAAAAATTATGCTTCCACCAAATGAAAAAAAAAAAAATTAAAAATACGAAAATTTGGTTATAAAAAATAATTTATTATATTCCAAAAAACAATTGTACAATTTAATACTTTTATTTTCCACTTGACTCATATTGGGTAAATTTAAATAAAATAAAAAAATAAATATTTCTTACGTTTCAATTGGATAAATTAAAATAAAAACATTAAAAATAGTTACAAATCGATTTCAATAAAAAAAAACAAAAATTATCCATTATTTGGTTTTTCCCCTATTGTATATTTTAGAAATAACAATGGTTGGTAATATCATTCCAAATGTGTGTTTTGAGAGAGGTAATAAAAAAAACCCATGGTCTAAAAAAATGTTTGCTTTTTTTGAATATTATTTTTTTCGCAGAGATTAAACAATTCTATAATTTTGTAATATCATATCTATGTGTGTGTATTACTATCATGCAATAACAATAGCCATTTCATTTCATGTGTTATAAATAACTATTATTTTTTAATGCTTACATTATTTGTTTTTATTTTGAATTTTTATCTTTTATATAAATATTTAGGAAATAACATGAAAAAGTTACATTTCAACTTACAAATATTAATAATGGGAATACGTATGTATAAACATTTTTCCTTTTTTTGTGGTAGTAAAATGTATTTAGTTTTTGTTTTCTTTTTCTGTTTTGTTGTTGCTTATTATTTGATAAATCGTATTTTGTTGTTCTTGTATAAATCGTATAAATTGTTTGTTGCAAAACATTTATTAAACACTTAATAAATATCCGAGTTTTATTGACTTAATATTAGGTATGTATTGTGTAGTTTTGTATACTATATGTTTCTTCTTTTTAATATATGTTTATATTTCAAATAAATATATATCGAATTTAGTTTTTAAATATGTATACAATTTCCATATGTATATATAATTTTTTTTTTTTTTAATTATCTGCAATACATAGTATTTATGTAGAAAAAAAATTGTAACATGATTTTGTTTTTATTATATTTATGTACTGTTTAAATATATATACGTTTAAAGTAATCATAATAAAGTAATTCTCATAATGAGCCTGTGTGTGTATGTCTTGTCAGAATTATGTAAAAAAACAAAACAAAAACGAACAAAATAAAACTTTAATCCTTATTCCACTAATTTGTTATTGGATACATTAGATCAGTTTTCAACAATGTTTTTTTTTTCTTTCATTTTCTGCCTTTTGTTTTATATGAATTATTCATGATTTGCTTTTTGGTTATTTTCTTTTCTCTTTTCTATCTATTAAATTGTTTAAAACTTAACTTAATAAATACACATACAAATATACGTACACAACAATTTGAGGTCGCCGTTTTCTGTTGAATATTTTTTTTTTCATTCTTAATTTTTCGGCGATACTGTGATAAGTTTGTGGGGCGTAACCGGAGATATCTGCAAATATGATGAAAACAATGTAAAATTAATAAAGGGGACTTTAATGGACTTAATTTTATAATAAAAATAAATACCAGAGAATAAATAAATAAAAAATAAGTTAAGAAGTATCAGTCGGTATTACCGAAAGTGTTTTGGTTTTAACATTTTTATACAGGTTGAGATGACAAAACTGCAACCAATTTCAGACTGCTGTCATTTCGAAGCAACTCGTCCGACAGCTGTTAAAATTATTCCAGCGACAGCTTATTATATTGTTTACAAGCGTACAAAAGCATTATGGTGAAAATTATCCAAAAAAAAGTTATTCGTGATAAAATTCAAGCCTGATAGTGTGATTTCTTTATATTTGGCTGGAAAACCAAAAGTGGCTATCGTTAGGGCACTCCAACATTTGAATGTGAATAAATCTTTTGTGTCTCGTACCATCGCTCGTTACCGTGATACTGGTAGCGTAACTCGACGTCAAGGAAGTGGACGGAAGAAAACAGCAACATCAGCAGAAATGGTTCAAAAAGTAAAGAAGCGACTTGATCGAAACTGGAAAATGCGTCGCAGTGGCCAAAAAATGAGCTCGGGGTAAGGCCATTGAAAATGTGCAAGAACTTACACCGCAACAGAAAGAAAACTCGAAGAGCTAAAAACTTGCTTCGCTTGGCCGAAAGTGGTGAACTGCCGAATTTGGTTTTCTCCGATGAGAAAACATTCGTTGTCCAGCACTTTGTAAATAAACAAAATGATCGTGTTTACTTGCCAAAGAGGTCAGCTGAAAAAGTGCACCTTCGGTAGCCCTCAAGAACTCAAGCGCCGGTCATGGTGATAGTGTGGGCCGCCATAACAGCCGATGGTCGCTCTCCGCTCGTATTGATCTACCGTGGCATCAAAATAAATGCCGAATATTATCGCGAAAAATTCTGGAGGGTGCATTAAAGCCTTGCACATGCAAACATTTTGGCGGCAGACCTTGGACATTGCACCTGGACTCAATACCATCGCACTCAGCACGCGCCGCCCCAAGAATGGTTACAAAATTAGGTTCCGCGCTTCATTTCCAGCGCACAATGGCCATCAAAATCTCCGGATACCAAATCGTTGGACTATTCTGTCTGTAGTATTTTGGAAAGCAAGGTTGACACTAAAAAATAACAAAGTATCGACCATCTCAAACAAGCGCTTCACCGGGAATACCGCAGAGCAACATTCGGGCAGCGTGTGACGGTTTCATTGGCCGTTTGAAGGCCATAATTCGTGCCAAAGCTGACCAATTCGACTTATTCCAAAATTTGTTATTTTCGATATTTTTTGCTTTCATTCATTCCGATATTTTTTGCTTTGACTTTGTTGCAGTTTTTTATCTCACCCTATATAGACGAGTAGCGAAATAATTGAAAAATTAGTAAAATAGTATCAGTCGGTTTTGACGACAAATGTATACCCCCAGCCTCGAGTTATGATTATTTAAACTGTTGACCATTTATGGGGGAGGTTCCGAAGCAGATGGTCAATATTGACCAATTCGTATCTGACCTAAGACTGATATACCAAATTTTTCATTTTCATACTTCATCTAAGACAAATAAATATATTGGTATGGGCAAAATTTGAAGGAAATCGAACATTTACATCCAATATTATGCGAAATCATAAATTCCGATAAATTACATATTCATATCAGATTTTTGGTTAAGAGAAATATTTAGGTATAGCAAGATGAAAAGAATCGCTGACTTGTTTCGCAAGTTATGTCAGATATAAGTATTGGAAATTGTGACCCTTTGTGGATGTAGAACCAGAAGGGGTTGGCAAATATATAACATCTTCACAACAAATCTTGCGTTAGCAAAAATATTTGGATGAAATTAGAAGAGAGTTGGATGCTTATCTCGCCTTTTTTGAGCCTTTTGTTTTTCCAAAATCTTAAACCCTATGTGGGGGAAGTACCAGAAGAAATGGTGCGATCTGTACCATCTGTACATAAAAATTGAATACTTTGCTACAAGTGCACGAGAAGTACTAAATAGTACTATTTTTGGTACAATTTTGTATTGCACAGATAGTGCTTGAAATCTGAAATTTGTTATTAGGGTCGCTGTTCATGTGCAAACTAGACATATAGAGGGGGTTTCGGAAATGTGTACAATTATTATACGAAAAGTACTGAATGGTTATATATTTGATATTGAGTGAAGGGATAGAGATAGAATTTTAAAATTTGATATTTCGATTTAGATTACTGACGGTATCTATGCTTGAGATTTGGCGGTGGTTTGGAAATGCGTCCTATGTTTGTGCTATAGAGTGATATTACTTCGAGAAGGATTGTATTAAAAAATATACATCGGAGCCGAGTTCTACAAAATGGAAACGTCGTCGCGAAATTTACTCCCTTTGGGCTGATATTAGCCAATATTTGCCCAACAAACCTGAAATCGGATTAAGGTTCCATATATATTCTATATCCAAATACCAAAATCTTAGTCGATCTCAATAACATTTGGCAAAGGTATCTCCGAGCTCTATAAGATATCTGGTACCAAATACCATTGTTGTCGAATGCATATTACGAATGTGAGGGACGTTAACACCAAATCGGATGAAACATATATATGGAAGCTAGTGCCATATCTGAACTGATTTTCAAATTTGATGTACTTGCTCATAGACTGAATTCGGTCGGATGTACCAAAATTCAGAACTTTTGGGCTAATATTGGCCATTTGGTGCACAATTAACCCGAAATCGGTTGAACATATATATGGGAGCCATATCCAAATTTTAACTGATCTTGATACAATTTGGCAGAGGTATTTCTGGGCTGTATCTGATAACAAACATCATTCTTGTGGGGCGCATATTACGAATATGAGGGACTTAAACGCCAAATCGGATGAAACCTATACATATATGGAGCTATAGCTATATCTGAATCGATTGTCACCAAATTTGATGTACTTGCTTTTAGACTGAATTCGGTTGCATGTGCCAAAATTCAGTTCATTTGGACTTATCTAAATCTGATCAGATTATCACCAATTTTAATAAAATTCGTCCTTGGGCTAAACACATTTCATCTCAATCGGATAATAAATGCGACTTACATTTTGTTCACAAGAATACATTGACAGACGGACGGACGGACTGACTGACATGCATAAATCGACACAGAAAGTTATTCTATGAAGATCCTCAAAGTAACTATAGGTCTATCTCGCTTCCCACGATTATGAAAGACTCCAAAAAAATTTTTTTAAATAACCCACGTTTATGAATGACTCTAAAAATATTTTTTAAAACAATCCACGTTTATGAAGACTCCAAAAAATAATTTTAAAAAAATCCATGTTTATGAAAGACTCAAAAAAATATTTGTTTTTAAAAATCCACGTTTACAAAAGACTCCAAAAAGTAATTTTTAGAAGAATTCACGCTTACGAAAAACTTCAAAAAGACTGGAGGCTTATTTTTTTTCAAGATGTATAAAATACAAAAAAAAATCCTTCCATTCAACTTACCCACAACGATCGACTGCCCATAAATGTCGAATCATCATCGTCCTCCATCAAACTATGATGATGCCGATGATTGTTGTGATGATGGTGATGATGATTGTGGTGGTGGTGGTGGTGGTGATGATGATGATTATGATGCTGTTGTTGATCCAAAAACAACAACGTATCCTTGCTGCATGTGTTCACCGAATTACGCAGCACCGACGACAGAGTGTCACCACATTCACGTAAACGATAATTGGATGCTGTCGAAAAGGAATGACGCAAATGCAACGAAGGGTGAGTCGTTGTGCTGGAACTACTGCCGGGGTATATGGCATTTTCAACGGCGGACACACTTGAACGACTACCATGCCAAGGTTGGCGAAAATGTCCCGCCAATGCGGAACTAATAATACTGCTGCTATTACTTTTCAAGCTGGTGGAAAGTAAATGTTCTTTATCGTTGGTGGGCGCCGAATTGGCAACGACAACGTGGGATGATGAAAAGCCATTGGTTTGATTTGTGGTAATGTCACCTGTGCCACCATTGAATTTGCCAGCAACTGCCATGGCTGTGTGATGCTGCTGTTGTTGTTGTTGCTTGGTTTTCGATAATGATTCGCTTGACGCCAGAGAAGTAGCAGATGATGAGTTAGAGCTGCTCGAAGGTGTGTTATTTTTCTCAATGCCATTTGATTTCTTGGGAGACAGGGGAGATTTTGATTTGTTATCTTTACTGTGGCCATTGGTAAGCGAATGATTTAGTGTTGTGGCATTTTCTTGAGCATTATCTTCTTCTTTGTTTTCTTTTACTTCCTCATCCAATTTACAATCCTCATCCATGGTGAAAATTTCATTATTTTCTTCGGGTGTTTGGATAAGGTCTTTCTTGTCTGATTCTTCATCGGCCACATCACTGCCATCATGTATGACCTCTGCATCAGCATAGTCCAACAGTTCTTCCAGGGCATCCAAATTAGAGGCTTTGTTAACTAATGGATCTTCAACTGGTCCAGTTATTTCAACGATTTCTAGAAAAAAAGTATAAAGGATGAAAATGAATTTTTTGTTTATATAGTTCGAAGACTTACCTTTCTCTTCCTTTGCCTTGGATTCTGGTTTATTACTCTGTATTTCCGGGCTTAGATGTTTCTCTACCACCACCTCAATTTTCTCTTCCTTGGGTGCATCGATTTTATCTTCAGACTTAAGTGTCTCTTTGGATTTGCTTAACACCGATTGCGCATTTGAGCTTTGTTGTGAGGATGACGATGGAGGCGGTGGGGCTATACGTGATACCCAATGATCACCGGAATTGGAACTGGAACCCGAGCATTCAGCATTCTCAGATGTTCTACGCTGATAGAACAACATATAAGCCTCGTTGTTAATGATTTCTTCGGGCATTGATTCATTGGGAACTTTGCTGACCCGCTGATCATCAAATTTATACCATTGACGATCGTAGGGATTTTTACAGGCGGCAGTGTAGTGGCCAGTTTCCAGGGTATCACCCTGATGATAACAGACGGCATAGAGGTCGTAGCGAGTTTCACGATTATCTCGCGAACTCAGTGTGGAAGAACGTGAATCTCCTGGCTTCGATTTGCGCCAAGGACTTGGACGGGTATTTTGTTGATGCTGTGGGCCTGCCGATAATGTTGCAGCTGTTGTCGTCGTTTCATTAGCTTCTTTTGCTAAATGTGGTGACATATCAAACGAATGCAGTGGAAACTTGACCATGGTGGTCAGTTTGGCGGCATTTGTATGCTTTCCATGATGCTGGCGGAAGCGTTTGAAGTGTACAACTAAAATATCAGGTAAAGACCATAAACCTAAAGTTTTCACAACCGGTAAATATTCCTGGCAATGGGGACAACGCCAGGCATCTTCAGCACTCAATGTTTCCGCTTTGGTATAATGTTCCAGACATTGTTCCAAAGTAAGGGTGGCGGTGTCATTGGATTTATTGGCCAGTAAACGGGGAACACTTTCATGTTCCACCACCTGATCAGAGAGATCCGAAAAATAAGCCTCTGGATCTGACCACTCGAGCAGTAGTTTTATGTGTGGCGGCCCAGCTTCTGCCGATAACACTGACAATGCCAAATCAATCATTTCGGTAAGCAGCGGATGTTCGACTTGTTCGATAAAGGTATCTGGATCTGCCGAAGGATCCTGCAGACGTATTTGAAACATTTCCTTCAACGGTGTAGAATAGGAAAATACTTCTGGCTTGAGAATGGCTGACATTTCTTTCAATAGCTTTTTTTGCAGCTCGGAATAAGAACAATCACGTGGTATCTGCAAACAGAAGGGAGCACCAAAACGTTCCAGACTAATGTCTTCTTTGGAGGTTTCCTCATTTTTCAGTTTGGTTTTCTTGACATTTGCTACCAGAACCAGCAGATTTGCTGACTGGGGATTATTGGCAGTTGTGGTGACACTTGCTGCGGTCGTTGATGCCGTATCATTTGCCTTTTTCTCCTCGCCCTCCTCTTTTTCCAAGGGTACTTCCATGCAATAAATGGTCTCAATGCCCTCCAAAGTATTCACCGGTTGGGAATCGTAAAATACCCGCATAAAACCCTCCTTTTGCAAATCGACCAACACCATCTGGTCCGTTCGTATGCCGGTGTCTTTGTGCAGCTGTTCCCTTAAGGCCACAATCGGTGAACCGGCAGTAACTGTTAGACCCATACGCATTTGCCGCGGCTGCTTTTGTAGATAGACAACGGTGGCAAAGATTGTCTGTTGCGTCAGTTGTGGCAGTTGTACCGATATGCAATGGAATGGATCGAAAGTATTGGATTGTTTTTTACAACGCGGACAGGTGAGGGATGAGCGAAATTGTGCTTGGAAAACGGCTTGAACAAAGGAATTGTTGCAACGTATGTGATTGGCTAATGTTTCGGCGGCAATTACTTCGTCGGGACGGCCGTAATTGTTCTGCAAAGAGATAATGGCAAAAATAGGGAAATGGTTTAGTGGGTAAAGAACAAAAATAAAGCATACTTTTAGGCGCGTTTGGAATTTAACCTTTTGTAAAGACAAAAATACTTAAAGATGGATAAAATGAAGTTCAATAGATGGGAACAAAGGGTCTAAGGAATCCGCAGGAAAAGAAAATGAAATGGAATTAGCTCAGAATACAGTAGTACTTTCACTGCTTCTCCGGAAGCAGTCAACATGGGACCAGGAAATTGGCATTCTGTTCATATTTCATTGTCATTGAATTTATTGTAGGGGACATTTACAAATGAAGTTTCTACATATAACACTGGGACTTATTGTTAAAAAAAAACAACTCAAGTCCTATCAAATATAAAGTTCCCTCTTAACAAAAAAATTTCAACCAAGTAGATTGTCATTGAAAATATTTAGAATCTCACGTTTATTTTACATTTATTTAGCCTTCATACATTTGGCCTTCAACTCAATTCTAAACCAAAACTGTCCAGCTGATATCTTAAACTATAGAAAAGTACCTTAAATATTACATGCTTCCCCTCCCCAATAGCATTTCCGTTAATAGTTCACCTGATGTTCAAGTTATCCAAGTCTGTCCACTTGTCGATCAAATTACATAACAATGGTAATACAAATACTGTCATTGTCACCAAAAGCTATTGAATGCAGGTATTTGTAGCGTATTTAATTATTTGTAAAAAGATGTCTCACTTGTAATACTCTTTACCTGGAAAGAGTGCTTAAAATTTTGGCGTCTATTTTGTGTTATCTTATCTTTTCTTCCCACCTTTGAATGTAAAAAATATTCCATATCAGAAAAGTTTACAAAAATAGCAGCAACAACAACATTAAACAAAATAAATAATTTACGTAAGTTTTTGCGGTGCGCAAAATATTTAAGTATTTCGTTCATTCTATTTTGCGATAATTTTTTTTTCAAGATAAAATGATACTTCACGGCATGGTAGGATGGATGGTATGGTATGACTTAAACATTTTTAATTGAAATAGGAATAGCAAATGTCTTTTAGACATACTTGCCTACATCCCCATGGGTGCCCAAAATTGATTTGAAGTGAATGGGCGGAATCTGTCATAAATAATGGCAAATATAATGGGAGAACTATAAAACCTGCATGAAGTAACCTAGTTCCCTCTAACTTTTTTTTTACTTTTCAAGGACTTCGAAATAATATTTCATTCAAAAGCAAGTGTAAATGCTTTGCATGCCAACTACTCAACATGGAGACGGTCAGGTCCATGTTGATCAGAGTGTAGTTGTGTGGCAGAGTTTAACACAAACTACCATAATTTTAATGATACCACAGGCCTGATTACCTTAGATATTGTACATTTAACTCCTATTTTACAAATCCGACTGATGTTCCAAGCACAGTCTACCATAGATTTTTAAATTAGTCTGATGTTTTTTGATCCGAAATCATATTTTCTGTCATATTGTAGAGATCTGAGAGCCATAAAAGAATAAGTCGATTATGTAATCCTACAGGACTCGGGATGTTATAGTTCCTACCATAATCGCCCCAAACACGTGCAATGATTTAGAACTCGAAAGCAAATTCCAATAAATCGAAAATGCAATAATTTGTTCTCCTTCGATTATGAATAAGTATTCCTACAAATACTAAATTTGAAACTAAAGGGTGATTTTTTGAGGTTAGGATTTTCATGCATTAGTATTTGACAGATCACGTGGGATTTCAGACATGGTGTCAAAGAGAAAAATGCTCAGTATGCTTTGACATTTCATCATGAATAGACTTATCTTGGTGTAAAACCGTATAAAATACAGCTCGTGCAAGAACTGAAGCCGAACGATCTGCCACAACGTCGAATTTTCAGTGAATGGGCCCTAGAAAAGTTGGCAGAAAATCCGCTTTTTTATCGACAAATTTTGTTCAGCGATGAGGCTCATTTCTGGTTGAATGGCTACGTAAATAAGCAAAATTGCCGCATTTGGAGTGAAGAGCAACCAGAAGCCGTTCAAGAACTGCCCATGCATCCCGAAAAATGCACTGTTTGGTGTGGTTTGTACGCTGGTGGAATCATTGGACCGTATTTTTTCAAAGATGCTGTTGGACGCAACGTTACGGTGAATGGCGATCGCTATCGTTCGATGCTAACAAACTTTTTGTTGCCAAAAATGGAAGAACTGAACTTGGTTGACATGTGGTTTCAACAAGATGGCGCTACATGCCACACAGCTCGCGATTCTATGGCCATTTTGAGGGAAAACTTCGGAGAACAATTCATCTCAAGAAATGGACCGGTAAGTTGGCCACCAAGATCATGCGATTTGACGCCTTTAGACTACTTTTTGTGGGGCTACGTCAAGTCTAAAGTCTACAGAAATAAGCCAGCAACTATTCCAGCTTTGGAAGACAACATTTCCGAAGAAATTCGGGCTATTCCGGCCGAAATGCTCGAAAAAGTTGCCCAAAATTGGACTTTCCGAATGGACCACCTAAGACGCAGCCGCGGTCAACATTTAAATGAAATTATCTTCAAAAAGTAAATGTCATGGACCAATCTAACGTTTCAAATAAAGAACCGATGAGATTTTGCAAATTTTATGCGTTTTTTTTTTTTTTAAAAGTTATCAAGCTCTTAACAAATCGCTCTTTATTACGTTGGAAAATGTGGCTAAATTTTCCAAATACCGAATATCATAAGATGTCGTAGTATGAGGCTATAAGAAAGCTGTACCCACATTGAAATTTGTTTGTCAGAGAATCAAGAGATCAAATAAAAAATATTAACACAACATTCGTATGACTAACATCGTAGCCATCTAGGTCGATCCCTTCAAATGTAAAAATGGCTAAAAGCAAATACAGTACCTGAATAAAACAGCAAATTATCAGTGACTATCAAAACAACATATCACAGAAAATGATTTCCGAGAAATATTTCATAGATATTTATGTGATTTCATAATTATTTCTGTATACTAAGTCGGTTTTATGAAACTGGATCAGTAGTAACAGTCTATTACGGATGAAGGCCGTGAAAAACTTCAGCCCGTACTGATCCACAAATTGTGAGAGAAATAAAAAACAACTATTTAAGAGTTCAACTGGATTGGTGAGAGAGCAATCATTGGATATAAGCTCGAGATCAGTGCGCAGACGAGCAGTGACAGCTGGTCTGCATGCCCGTAAGACATCAAAAAACCATTTATATCTAAAAAAAATCAAAAAGGCTTCCGGAAACGATAACATTAAGTGGAATCAAGCTCAATGGAAAAAGTCTACGTTTAATATTAAAGGCTCAGACGTGAAAAATTTAACGGTGAGAAGACCAAAAAATGAAGGACTCAAGCCGCAGTGTTGCAAAGGTACAGTGAAGCATGAGGGAGGGTCAAAAATGGCGTGGCGCTGTTTTTCTTTCTATGGACTTGGGCCTATCCATAAATTAAAGGAAGTTGTGGATCGGTTTGTTTACAAAGATGTGTTGGACATCACGTTGTTCCCTTACGCTGAGTAAAATATTTGGCTGATTTGGGTGTTTCAGCATGACAATGATCCCAAACTTGTATCAAAACTTGTCAAATATTGGTTGCGGAAGTCAAAAATTCATGTTTTGTTATGGCCGGCACAATCACCTGACCTAAACTCCTTAAAAACCCTTTGGAGTAACGTAGATAGGAAGATCAAGAGAGATTCGGTAATAAATAAGCACAACATTTTCTAAAGAATTCGGGGTGCCTGGGAAAGCACACCCAAGGATCAAATTGAGCGTGTTATAGATTCAATGCCTTGTAGGTGTGCAGGTGCTATCAAAAATAATGGTTATGCTATCGATTACTAGCCAAAATTTAATTATTTTAAAATAAAAAAATCAAAAGTTGCTTTAGTTCTGACCAAGCAAAAATTGGGTCATTTTAGTTTTCCACATATTATTTTTCGTTCAAAATTATTTTTGTATTTTTATTTTTAGTTTCTTAAAAGTGAATTAAAAACCTCATTTAAAACTGGAAAAATAGTTACGATTTGTTTATTTTTGTAAAAGTTACAGGACATTTATTGTCTTTGCGATTTAAGTTGCTTTAGTTTTGGCCACCAGTGTATATCCAATTTTATGCGAAGTTATAAAAATCGATAAATTACATATTCATATCAGATTTCCGGTTAAGAGAAATATTTAGATATAGCAGATTTCGCAGATATAGATCATCTACACAACAGATCTTGTGTTGGCAAAAATAGTTGGATGTGTGAAATTTGAAGAGAGTTGGGTGCTTACAAGTATTTCGCTTTCTTTGAACCAAATCTTGAACCATATGTGGGGGAGGTACCAGAACAAATTTTCCGATCTCTACCATTTTTATAACATATCTTGTGTTGTTGAAAATATCGAGATATACCAAGTCTGAATGTCATCAGACGTTAATTTCCCGTTTATGAGCTTCATGGATACTCAAAATTTTACCATTTGTGGAGGAGGTACGAGAAGGAGTGGATCGATATATTTTATCTTCACACCAAACCTTGGGTTAATAAAAATGTTGTAATGTCTGTAATTTGAAGAGAACCGGATGCATATTTCAGATTTTATAATTGTTTTGGTTATTTAAAACATTGACCCTTTTTGGCAGAGGTACCAGATCTTGTGTTTATAAAAATATTGAAATACACTAAGTCTGAATGGAATCGGATGTTAATTTCGTGTTTTATGAGCTTCATGGATATTCAAAATTTTGACCCTTTGTGGGGAAGATACCAGAAGGAGTAGGCCAATATATTCCATCTTCACACCAGATGTTGGGTTAATAAAACTATTGTGATGTGTGTAATTTGAAAACAATCAGACTTATACGTCACATTTTATAAAAGTTATAATTATTCAAAATTTGGACCCTTTGTGGGAAGGTACTTGATGAAGTGGATCGATATTGTCACATTTCGCCCCTGACCTAGCGCTGATGCAAATATTAGGATTTGCAAAGTTGAAGCAAAATCGGATTATCCTTTCTCTTTCTGTGCAGTAAATTATTTTCTTTGAAAATGTTGACATTTTGTGTGGAAGGTACCAGAAGGAGTGGACCGATATTGCCTCTCTCCGAACTCGATCTAACTTTTACAATAATATTACGAGGTAACAAGTTTGAATCAAATCGGTTACTCCCTTCGAGAGTTATCGTGGGCACCAGCTAGCCAGACACCTCTAGATCGACTCCAAATTACCTAAAAACGGATTTGGTCCAAAGAGACATAGGGTCTAAAAACGTTATTTCGATAAAGCACGTTTTGGCCGTATCAAATACTATATATACTCTATCTAGCCATATCGCTGAGGGTATAAAATTATTCTTTTACGTAGGTAGTTATAAACAAGTAAGCAAAGGCTACAGTCGAGCGTGGCCGACCGTTGAATACCCTACAACACTATAATAAACGATACAGTTTATATAGGCGAAATACTCGACAGAATTCCACAAGATATTGTGACAAATAATAAAAGAAAACCATCAGGTTTCGTTCTCTAATTTTCGAATAATAGCAACTTAAACTAATTTGCTCATTTCCAATTTATTGGAAGATGTTGCACTTAAATGGTCTTCCTAGATCTGAAACCAATATTTCCCAAAGACCTGTAATCTCTCAGAAGTGGCAAAAGATTAACATTTATTACTGATTTTTGACTGAAACGCATCTATATGAGATACAGACATTTGACTATATTCTTCAACGAAATCAGCGTTAACGAAATAGTCAGAAGTGCGTCTTTCCTGTATTTGTGAATTCTCCAAAGAGTCACTGGAATGGACATTTTGGTATTTTGCAAACTGTTTCACACATGGAATATTTTTGGATGGCCATCCAAAACTGCTTAGCTTTTGCAATGTCCGGTAACCCCCATTCAAATGTGCGTGAGATTCGGGCGATAATTACGACCTGATGACAATTTTGCAGTTTTGTTGGTCCATTTCAACCCCTAAATATATGGCGATCATCTCCAAAAAGAGTAGGCTTCTATTCTGACCCTCATCTTATCCCCATGCAAAATTTCGTAAGGATTGGGCCATAAATGAGATCTGTATATGATATCCTGATATCCTAACTACTTAGTTTTGTTAGCTGTAGAAATATTACCAAACGTTTAATTCAAAATGAAAATATGCCAAAAATATGACAAAATTGAAAAAATATGAGAAATCAATATTTTCATCTTAGAGAGATATTTTTATGCGATTTTTTTAGACGTTTTTTCTTTCCTGCCTAGAGGCCATTCTGAATTAATGAGAACTCTCGAAATCAGTTCAGCCGTTCTCGACATATAAGAGATCTTTCAAGCATATATTCTTTGATAGACATATATATCGCACATATTTTGCTATATATCCGATTTGTTGGATGTTAACATCAATGTAAAGGTCAGAAGTAACCTTGTGATGGCTTTGTGATTTCGCCGGGATTTAAAATATTCACGGTTTAATGAAAAATTTTGTTTTTTTTTTCAACACAAAAGATATGGTCTATTTTAGCCGCTAAATATTATCCGATGACCACCCAAATTAGTAGGCTTCTTCCCCGCCCTAAACATTATCTACACGCGAAATTGTATAGCTGCTGACATCCGACATCCAATCCGACATTTTTTCAGTATTTGGTCCATTTCAACCCCTAAACATTTGGCGGTCATCTCCAAAAGCAATAGGGTTCTATTTTGGTCCAAGCCCCACCTACATTCTAAATTTCGTGAAGATCGGGCCATAATTGCGAATTTACAAATTAACATGGACAGACGGACGGACAGACATACATAGCTAGATCGACTCAGCTCGGCGAGCTAGGAAGATCCATATATATTTTCCTATGTGGGAAACCAATATTTCGAGGTGTTACATAATTTTTGGCCCAATCAAACTTATAATACCCCCAACACATAGTGTTGTAGGGTATAAAAAATAAATATTTTTCAAATGTTGAAGAGTTTAAAAAACAATAAAATTTGGCAATCTCCAATCTGAACGAGGTATTTTTTTCTTTGCCCTTGAAAACTAATTTGTCTTTATTGATTTAAGGTCTCGAGGACATTTGTCTATATAAACAAAATGTTAATTGTCAAGATAAGACTTTTTAATCGTCGAAGAAAGCGTAATGCGTTATTGTTCTAAACACTTGAAAATGAAAAAAAAACAACAACAACTCAAAGAAATTCGCGTAGCATTTGCAGTGTTCGACTCAAGAGACCTGCATATGTAATAGTTTTTTTATCAAGCGTCAATAATAATTAGAAGTTATAAAACAGCAATAACAAAAACAACAACTATAGAAGAGATAATAGAACTCGTGTTGTCCCTAATCCCCCCTGAACAATTATCGCACTACGACTCTAACTAAAATATAAAAAACTGAAAATTCTAACAGCTCAAGTTTTCACCTTGCCTACTGGTGTTAGCACACGATTTTGGAATAAAAGTTGCATAAAATAAAATATATGAGTGTGCGTCTAAAGCTGTTATCTTTGAATGCGGCTGCTAATGAAGAAAGCCTTTAGCTATCTGGTCATAATATAAATTTCAATGGCGATAATTTCACCTGACACTGATGTGGCAAATCTGTCACACTTAAAATCATGATGATGAGGAGAAAGAGCGATAGGGATAATCTCTAATGGCCTTTTTGTGTAAACATATAAATTGTCATTTATCAATTGTTATGGGCGAACTTACCTTGACACTTTTATAGCGTCGTTTTGTGGCGGTATTTAAATCTTCGTGGACTTTATCCAATAGCCAGAAGAGAAATTCTTGAGCATCGTGTTGCGTTGAACTGCGAAATTGCGAGCCATAGCGATCGACAACGGCCTGAAAAATTGAATTGGGAAGGAATTATTTTTCAAAGATTTTGATTGTGAAATTATTTGAAGCTTACCTTAAAACTGGTGCTGTGATCACTTTCATTTTTACACGTCCACAGGGCTTTCAAAACATTGGCCAGCTGTTCGGTCAGCTCTCCCTTGGTACCAAATTTTCGGGAATTGATTTTGTTGCGTCGTTTCAAATCAGCCTGAAAAAAAATGCAAAAATGCAGATTAAAATGAGATTCAATTTTTTGTTAAAAAAAAAGTCTTTCTGTAGGCCTTCTAGAGGTCTTTTTGGATTAAGAAATATATATTTTTTGTAGATTCAAGACTTTTCCAGATTTTTCTTAGATAAAAAATATTTCTAACCGGTCATATATGAAAAGAGTACTCTTGACGTGTTCTTCTCTATATGAAATTCAAAATCTTTGCACAAACGGCTGCCAGGGACCTTCTAGAGGTCTTCTTTATATAAAATGCCTTCTAAGAACTTTCCCAGAAATAAACCTCTCTTTCTAGATTTTAGATATTGTATACCCTTCATGTTTCGTGAACAAAATGCTGATCGCATTTATTATCCGATTGAGATGAAATTTTCCAAACAATATGTGTTTGACGCAAGGAAGAACTCTATTGAAATTGGTGGAAATTGGTTCAAATTTAGATATAGCTCCCATATATATCCTCAACCGATTTCGGGATAATTGTGCACCAAATGTTCAATATCGGTTCAAATGATCTAGATTTTTGCACATCAGTCCGAATTCAGCCCAGAAGCAAGTAAATCAAATTTGGTGAAAATCGGCTCAGATATAGCTATAGCTCCCATATATATGCTTCATCCGATTTGACGTTTAAGTCCCTCACATTCGTAATATGCACATCACAACAATGACATTTGGTACCAGATATTAGATACGGCCCAGAAATACCTCTGTCAAATTTTATCAAGATCGGTTCAGATTTGGATATAGCTTCCATACACATCTTCAACCGATATCGGGTTAATAGTGCAGCAAATGGTCGATATCAGTCCAAAAGTCCTGAATTTTTGTACATCCGACCGAATTCAGCCTAGGAGCAAGTACACCGAATTCGAAGAACATCGGTTCAGATATAGTAGCTATAGCTGCCATATATATGTTTCATCCGATTTGGTATTTAAGTCCCTCACATTCGTAATATGCACATCACAGCAATGAAATTTGGTACCAGATATTAGATACAGCCCAGAAATACCTCTGTCAAATTTTATCAAGATCGGTTCAGATTTGAATATAGCTTCCATACACATCTTCAACCGATATCGGGTTAATAGTGCAGCAAATGGTCAATATCAGTCCAAAAGTCCTGAATTGTTGTACATCCGACCGAATTCAGCCTAGAAGCAAGCACATTAAATTTGGTGAAAATGGGTTCAGATATAGCTATAGCTCCCATATAAATGTTTCATCCGATTTGATGTTTAAGTCCCTCACATTCGTAACATGCATTCCACAACAATGATCTTTGGTACCAGATATCAGATGCAGTTCTGAAATAAGTGTATCAAATTTTGTCAAGATCGGGGGAGATTTGGATTCGGAAATAGCATCAAATTTTAGAATAAGCTTAGATTTGTTCGAATTGGTCACCTTTGGCACGACTTATGGCCTTCAAATGGCCAATGAAACCGTCACACGCTGCCCGAGTGTTGTTCTGCGGTATTTTGACCAATTCCCGGCGAAGCGCTTGCTTGAGGTGATCGATACTTTGGTATTTTTTAGTGCCAACTTTGCTTTCCAAAATACTCTAGACACAATAGTCCAATGGATTGGTATCCGACTATTTTCGTGGCCATTGTGCCCTGGAAATGAAGCGAGGTACATCATTTTGTAACCACTCTTGGGTGGCGCGTGCTGAGTGCAATGGTGCTGAATCTTATTGGAATGTTCAAGGTCTGCGGCCAAAATGTTTGCGTGCCTAAGGCTTTAATATACCCTGCAGAATATTTTCACGATAACATTCGAAATTTATGTTGATGCCACGGTCGATTAATACGAGCGGAGAGCGACCATCGGCTGTTATGGCGGCCCACACCATCACCATGGCCGGCGCTTGAGTTCTGGTAGCCAACCGAAGATGCACATTTTCAGCTGACCTCTTTGGCAAGTAAACATGCTGGACAACGAATGTTTTCTCATCGGAGAAACCCAAATTCGGCAATTTACCACTTTCGACCAAGCAAAGCAACTTTTTAGGTCTTTTGAGTCTATTTTTTTCTGTTGGGGTGTAAGTTCTTGCACTTTTTGGAATCTCAATGGCTTTATCCCGAGCTCATTTTTCCATATTTGCCAAATGGAATATTGCCATATGTCCAACTCACGAGTCATTTTTCGCCCATTGCGATGCGGGTTTCGATCAAGTCGCTTCTTTACTTTTCTAACCATTTCTGCTGATGTTGCTGTTCCGTCCTCTTTCTTGACGTCAGGCTATGCTACCAGTATCACGGTAACGAGCGATGGTACGAGACACAAACGATTTATTCACATTTAAATGCTGGAGTGCTCTAACGATAGCCACTTGTGGTATTCCAGCCAAATAAAGAGAAATCACGCTATCACGCTTGAACTCCATCACGAAAAAAATTTTTTTCTGGAAAATTCACTGTCACTGGAATAATTTTAACAGCTGTCGGACGAGCGGCTTGAGAATGACAGCACAAATCTAACCCTGTATATTGCTCCAATAAATATTTTTATACCCTACACCACATAGTGGTAACATAGAGAAGGAAACGAGATAGACCTATAGTTATTTTTCAGGATCTGCATAGAATCGCATTTTGAGTCGATTTATGCATGTCCGTCCGTCCGTCAGTCTGTCCATGTATTTTTGTAAACAAAATGCAGGTCGCATTTATTATTCGATTGAGATGAAATTTTCTAAATAACATTTGTTTGGCTCAGGGACGAACCCTATTGAAATTTGTGAAAATCGGTCTAAATTTAGATATAGCTCCCATGTATATCTTTTTCCGATTTTAGGTTTCTTGTGCACCAAATGGCTAATATTAGTCGAAATGGTGGAAATTTTGCTGCATCCGACCGAATTCAGCCTACAAGCATGTGCTTTAAATTTGGTGAAAATCGGTTCAGATATAGTTATAGCTCCCATATATATGTTTCATCCGATTTTGGTGTTTAATTCCCTTACATTCGTTATATGCACTCCACAAGACTGATATTTAGCACCAGATATCAGATACAGCCTAGCAACCCATAGATCAAATTTTATCAAGATCGGTTCAGATTTGGATATAGCTCCCATATCTTCATCCGATTTTAGGTTTCTTGTGCACCAAATGACTAATTTCAGCCCAAACTGAGTGAAATGTTGTACTTCCAAGCGAATTCATTCAAGAAGTTAATACTTAAAAATTGTTGAAAATCGCTTCAGATAGAGCTATAGCTCCCATATATATATTTTATCCGATTTTGGAGTTTAAGTCCCTCACATTCGCAATATACATCCCATGAAAATGATATTTGGTACCAGATATTAGATTCAACCTAGCAATAAATGATTCAAATTTTATCAAGGTCGGATCAGATTTGAATATAGCTTCCCTATATATCTTCGTCCCCCTTAGGTTTGGTACTAGTCAAATTTGTGGAAAATTGATTAAGAGTTGTATATAGTTCGCGAATTTTGACTACTCTAAAGCCATGATACGTTCATGGCCCGCCCGCCCGACTTTTGACCTTTCATTACTCGTTTATTGTTTTGGTTTGTGTAGAAGACCTTTTACAGACCGTGTTTGGAAAGGGAATCTTCCATATGACTCATACAGACATCCATGGGTCTTTATGGTTCGGAGACCCCCATGGACTTCTCTCAAACCAATAATAAGCCGATGACTTAATATCTGCATTATTCACTTCTTTTTTATTAAAAAAAAAATAATTATAATAAATATAAAACATGAATTATTGGTCTGATGTCTGCGGTGATTAGAAACAATTTGCATTTCAATGTCATTTATTTATGGCTTAATACAATTTCCAAGATAAAAGACGTGGTTTTGCTACCATCGGACAAGGCTACAGAAGAATGCATTTTATTGTGGTTAGATTTAAAATTTGTTCCAAACTAGTTCCACCCACTTTTGCGCTCCACTGTATGCCTGTTTATATTCCAAATATTATTCAAATAACAATAAAAAAAGAAAGAGAATAAAAACGATATTCTTTTTTAATTGTCATTTTATTAGGCATTAATTATAGTATTTTGGAATTAATGAAGAATTGCGTAATTCATATCTAAATACAAGTCAAGTAAACATTTTTTTGGGGGGAACCACTTTCGTAGTTTTGAATTATGTATCAAAAAATGTTACGCTGTAGATGTAGGGTATGGGAAGATGGGAAGGTCTGTTCAAAGTCTTCTTTGTAGAGGAGACTTTAAAAATGTATCTCACATTAAAGACGTTTAAAAGTACTAAATAAAATGGAGTTGAGCCAGAACTTTAATTATTAACATGAAGGTGACCATAGGTGTGAGAGGCTTCGAAAACGTCAAGGAGTATGAAACGGTGGGCTTTTGAAGGCGAAATTGCTAGAATGCTGAAATTTCGTAGGTATCGTTGCGAGTCATTAAATTAGTGCCGAATTCGGTTTTATAAATTTTGGGATAATATTGAAAGTACTCTTTCCGAAGGAGAATTAATAACTTTTTAGAATTAAGTGAATTCTAAGTACCCCCGACACTACTGCGAGGTATTCGGCATGAAGTATGTTGTAGAAACTTGTATATCACGAAATTTGGCCTGCGATTAATTTCTGGAGTGAAGTGGTCAAAAAATGGCATAGTATGGAAATTTGTACCTCATCCTCAGCCATATGGCTACATAGCGTATATATTATTTTATAAGGCCAAAACGTGCTAGGTCTCTTTGCACCAAATTCGATTTAGGACATTTGGTGTCGATCTAGCGATGTCCATCCGTCTTTATGTTTGGCTGGCTGGTGCGCACGATAATCGAAATAACGATTTTAGACCCTAGGTCTCTTTGGACCAAATCCTTTTCAGGACATTTGGAGTCGATATAGCGATGCCCATCCGTCCGTCCGCCTTTCTGTCTGGCTCGCTGGTGCGCACGATAACTCTCGAAGGAAATATCTGATTTGGTCCAAACTTGGTAATATTATTACCAAACTTAGATCGAGTTCGGAGATGGCAATATAGGTCCACTCCCTTTGATACCTTCCCTACAAAAGGTCAACATTTTCAAAAAAAAAAATATTTTCCTATACAGAAAGAGAGAGGATAATACGATTTGGCTCCAACTTTGCAAATCCTAATATTTGCATCAGTGCTAGGTCAGGTGCAAAAATGGACAATATCGGTCTCCATTAAGTATCTCACCCACAAATAGTCAAAATTTTGAATAATTAAAACTTTTATAAAATGTTATGTAAGAGTCCGATTGTCTTCAAATTACACACATCACAATATTTTTATTAACCCAAGGTCTGGTGTGAAGATGAAATATATCAGTCCACTCCTTTTGGTACCTCCTTTTTGATACCTCCTTTTGGTACCTCAAAATTTTAAATGTCCGTGAAGCTCATAAAACCCGAAATTAACATTCGATTCCATTCCATTCCATCCAGAAAAAAATTATTCGTGATGAAATTCAAGTGTGATAGTGTGATTTCTTTATATTTGGCTGGAAAACCACAAGTGGCCATCTTTAGAGCCCTCCAGCATTTAAATGTGAATAAATCGTTTGTGTCTCGTACCATCGCTCGTTACCGTGATACTGGTAGCTTAGCCTGACGTCAAGGAAGTGGACGGAAGAACGGAACAGCAACATCAGCAGAAATGGTTTGAAAAGTAAAGAAGCGACTTGATCGAAACCCGCGTCACTGTGGCCGAAAAATGGATCGTGAGCTGAACATATTGCAATATTTCATTCGGCACATATTGAAAAATGAGCTCGGAGTAAAGCCATTGAAATTCCAAAAAGTGCAAGAACTTACACCGCAACAGAAGAAAATAGACTCAAAAGAGCAAAAGAGTTGCTTCGCTTGGCCGAAAGTGGTGAACTGCCGAATTTGGTTTTCTCCGATGAGAAACTATTTGTTATCCAGCAGTTTGTAAGCAAACAAAATGATCGTGTTTACTTGCCAAAGAAGTCAGCTGAAAATGTGCACCTTCGGTTGGCCACCAGCTCTCAAACGTCTGCCATGTTGATGATGTGGGCCGCCATAACAGCCGATGGTCGCTCTTCGCTCGTATTAATCGACCGTGGCATCAGAATGAATGCCGAATATTATCGCGAAAATATTCTGGAGGGTGTATTAAAGCCTTGGGCACGCAAACATTTTAGCCGCAGTCCTTGGCCACTCCAACAGGACTCAGCACCATCGCACTCAGCACGCAGCACCCAAGAATGGTTACAAAATGAGGTTCCTCGCTTCATTTCCAGTTCACAATGGCCATCAAAATCTCCGGATACCAATCCGTTGGACTATTGTGTCTGGAGTATTTTAGAAAGCAAGGTTGGCACTAACAAATACCAATGTGTCGATCACCTCAAGCAAGCGCTTCGCCGGGAATGGGCCAGAATACCGTAGAGCAACACAGCGTGTGACGGTTTCATTGACCGTTTAAAGGCCATAATTCGTGCCAAAGGCGAACAATTCGAACAAATCTAAACTTATTCGAAAATTTAATGCCATTTCCGATATTTTCTGCTTTCATTCAATAAAATTTAAAAAAAAAATGTAAAAATTATGGCGCTTGACTTTGTTGCAGTTTTTTTTATCTCACCCTGTATACATGAGAGCTGTAGCTATACCTGAACCGATTTTCAAAAATTTGACGTACTTATTTATAGACTGAATTTGGTCCGAAGTGTCAAAATTCAGCTCATTTGGACTGATATTTGCCATTTGGTGCACAAGTAACTCGAAATCCGTTGAAGATATATATGGGAGCTATATCTAAATTTGAACCGATTCTCAATTTCAATAGAGTTCGTCCCTGGGCCAAACAAATACTGTTTGGAAAATTTCATCTCAATCGGATAATAAATGCGACCTGCATTTTGTTCAGAAAAATACATTTACAGACGGACGGAGAGACGGACTGACATGCATAAATCCACTCAGAAAGCGATTCTATGAAGATTCTCAAAAGTAACTATGAGTCGATCTCGCTTCCTTCTACATGTTACAAAACAAATGCACAAAGTCATAACACCCTTACCACTATGTGGTGTAGGGTATAAAAATCTATTTTTAACGTAAGGATACTCGTATACCGAAGGTTTCTTTAGAGAGGCGATTCATATACTTTCCGAAAATGGATGTTTATGAATCTTTACATAAATATTTCATTGTAGAAATTTTGAAACATGTGCCACAGACGCATACCCTTCTTAGATCCTAAGATATAGGCCACAAAATATTGAAAAAAAAAAAAAAAAACGATATTTTCAAATCAGATTGTTTCTCTTCCATCTGTGTTGCATATATTATGGGTTCGTAACGCATAGAAAACTACATAGCAAAGGCTTTCAGTTTTTTTTATAGATTCAGACAAAGCCTAAAAAACTTCGGACATTTTTAAGTTAACCAATTTAGCCATACCTAAAAATTTTCGGCTATAAATTCATAATTTATACCCTCCACCAAACATAGTATGGATGGTATATTAAGTTCGTCATTCCGTTTGTAACTCATCGAAATAATCATTTTAGACCCAACAAAGTATATATATTCTTGATCAGCGTAAAATTCTAAGACGAGCACTGTCCGTCCGTCTGTCCGTCTGTTGTAATCACCCTACAGGCTAAACAAATTAAGATAGAAAGCTAAAGTTTTGCCCAGATCTATCTTTTGTTTGCAGGCAGGACAAGTTAGAAGATTGGCTATATCGGTCCACGATATCGTATAGCCCCCATATAACGGTACACCCCGATATTCGGTATTTTGATGATTTTACCCACATTTTTCAACGGAATTGTCTGAAATTCCACACAAGAGGTTCTTTGTGGGTACTTTATACCTCGGAAGAGAATTATCTATATAGGTCGACAATATCGTATAGCCCCCATATAACGGTACACCTCGGTATTCGGTATTTTAATGATTTTAGCCACATTTTCTAATAAAATGATCTGAAAATCCGCACAAGAAGTTCCTTGTAAGTACTTTATCCCTTGGAAGAGAATTATCTATATAGGTCCACGATATCGTATAGCCACCATATAGCGGTACCCCACCGATATTCGGTATTTTGATGATTTTAGCCACATTTTTTAAAGGAATTCTCTGAAATTCTACACAAGGAATTCTTTGTGAGTACTTTACTCCCTGATATAACGGTATATATCCCCCATATAACGGTACCCTCCGATATTCGGTATTTTGATGATTTCAGCCACATTTTTCAATGGAATTGTCTGAAATTCTACACAAGGAGTTCTTTGTGAGCACTTTAACCCCTGAAAGGGATTTGTCTATACAGGTCCACAATATCGTATATCCCCCATATAACGGTACCCTCTGATATTCGGGATTTTGATGATTTCAGTCACAATTTTCAATGGAATTATCTGAAAATCCACACAAGGAGTTCTTTGTGAGTACTTTACCCCCAGACATAGATGTGTCTATATAGGTCCACAATATCGTATGTCACCCCATATATCGGCACTTTCCGATATTAGGTATTTTAAAGATTTTAACAGAATTTTCAATGGATTTTATTTTTCTTGGAAAATTTTCTAATTCGTTCCAAATGGTGGAGGGTATTCAAAGTTCGGCCCGGCCGGACTTACTGCTTTTTTACATGTTCTTCTTATTTTCTCTGATTGTTTTGATTTTATTGTTTTTGTAATATTGTTATTGTTGTTGTAATTACCTTATATTGATCTAAAACAAAATACTCCGCCAATATATCCGTATGGCTAAGGCATTGTAAGACGGCATTCATGAAACAGGTATTGCCATGATTTTTCAGACCCATAACACCAGGTGTCTGATCCGTTGGCCATTGATAGCCACCGATGGGCGGTACGCGATCGCCGCTCGATGATATTAGGTGATTGCCGCCATTGGCTGAAGCGCTCGTTGTTGTTGTTGTCTGCGGTTTATTCGACTGTAATGAAAAGGAGGAAGGAGGAGAAGAGAGAAAAATTAGATATATTATTTTATAAATGAAAAATGTGTGAGTCAAACCCGCTTTTTGCTAATAATAATTATAGAGCAGAAGCGGAATTTATTACAAAAAAAAAGAAAAACAAAAAAAAACAACAAAAACAAAAATTTATCGTTTTTAATCATCAACAACAAAAACATTAAGCTCGAAATAATGCAATCGAAATTGTTTCATAGTAATTTTGTAAAATTTGAAAATCAACAACAACAACTATTACCAAAGCAAAACAATAATAGCCGGAAAATAACAATTTCTTATTGTTATTGTATTTGTAATTTTGCAATGAAAATGGAAAACAAATGTGCATGAAGTGGTTTCCTTTTGTTTGACTGGCCGCCGCCAGCCGCCTGACATTCAAGTGTCCAAAACGAAACCAAACGAACAATGAAAAAAAGAAAAAAACGTCCCATTCAAAATTGTTGTGAAAAACGAAAATCGTTATGTCTTATCAATATTTCATCATTTTCCAAATTGCAACAATGTGGCCAGTGCTTGGAAAATGCCCAAAAAAAACATATGTACAAAAGGGCATATGCATGTCGGAAATCACAGTGGTATTTCAAAATCTCTCAAAATCTGATTCTGGGTCTATTGATTTAAAATTCAGACCTCAGACTTTAATTATATAAGTCGGACAAATGCTGTTATTAGCCTCGTGGTTTTTGTTCTGGCCTCGTCATATTTAATTTTTATACCCTAAACCACAAGGTGGTCCGGGTATTATGTCTTTTTGCATTTGTTTGTAACAGGCAATAGGAAACGAGATAGACCCATAGTTCCTTTCGATGATCTGCATAGAATAATATTCTTAGTCGATTTATACATGTCCGTCCGTCTGTCCGTCCGTCTGTCTGTCCGTCCGTCCATTCATTTATTTTTGTAAACAAAGTACAGGTCGCATTTATTGCCCGATCCAGATGAAATTTTGCAAAGATCTTTTGTTTGGCCCAAGGACGAACCCTATTGAAATTGGAGATAATCGATCAAAATTTAGATATAGCTCCCATATATATCTTCGTCCGATTTGCCTTATATTGTGCACCAAACGTGTAATATCAGACCAAATGGTATGGAATTTTACACATACAACCAAATTAGGCCTGAAAATAAGTATGCCAAATTTAATCGAAATCGGTTCAGATATAGCTATAGCTCCCATATATATTGTTCATCCGATTTGTTATTTTTGTCCTCCGCAGCCATAATATGCACTCTGTTACAACAATATTTGGGGAAATATTTCAAATACAGCTCAGAAATACATTTGCTAAATTTTATCGAGATCGGTTCAGATTTGGATATAGCTCCCATATATAACTTCGTCCGATTTACCTTTTATTGCGCATCAAACGTCAAATATTTGTCAAAATGTGATGGAATTTGGCACTTATGACCGAATTAGGTCTAGAAGCTAGTATGTCAAATTTGATCGAAATCGGTTCAGATATAGCTATAGCTCCCTTATATATTGTTCATCCGATTTTTTATTTTTGTCCCCCGCAGCCGTAATATGCACTCTGTAACAACAATATTTGGGGAAATATATCAAATACAGCTCAGAAATACCTTTGCTTAATTTTATTGAGATCGGTTCAGATTTGAATATAGCTCCCATATATAACTTCGTCCGATTTACCTTTAATTGTGCACCAAACGTCTAATATTTGCCCAAATGGGATGAAATTTGGCACTTACGACCGAATTGAGTCTAGAAGCTAGTATGTCAAATTTGGTGAAGATCGGTTCAGATATAGCTATAGCTCCTACATATACTGTTCGTCCGATTTGTTATATTTGTTACCCACAGCCGTAGTGTGCACTGCGTAAGAACGATTTTCAGGGAAATATATCACATACAGCTCAGAAATATCTTTGCCAAATTTTATCGAGATCGGTTCAGATTTGGATATAGCTCCCATACATAACTTCGTCCGATTTACCTTTTATTGCGCATCAAACGTCTAATATTTGTCCAAATGTGATGGAATTTGGCACTTACGACCGAATTAAGTCTAGAAGAGAAGTCTATGTCAAATTTGGTGAATATCGGTTCAGATATAGCTATAGCTCTCATATATATTGTTCATCCGATTTGTTATTTTTGTCCTCCGCAGCCGTAATATGCACTCTGCAACAACAATATTTGGGGAAAGATATCAAATGCAGCTCAGAAATACATTTGCAAAATTTTATCGAGATTGGTCCGGATTTGGATATAGCACCCATATATAACTTCGTCCGATTTACCTTTTATTGCGCATCAAACGTCAAATATTTGTCCGAATGGGATGGAATTTGGCACTTACTGCCGAATTGAGTCTAGAAGCTAGTATGTCAAATTTGGTGAAGATCGGTTCAGATATAGCTATAGCTCCCATATATACTGTTCATCCGATTTGTTATGTTTGTCCTCCGCAGCCGTAATATGCACTCTGCAACAACAATATTTGGGGAAATTTATATCAAATACCGCTCCGAAATACATTTGCTAAATTTTATCGAGATCGGTTCAGATTTGGATATAGCTCCCATATATAACTTCGTCCGATTTACTTTTTATTGTTTCACCAAACGTCTAATATTTGTCCAAATGGGATGGAATTTGGCACTTACGATCGAATTGAGTCTAGAATCTAGTATGTCAAATTTGGTGAAGATCGGTTCAGATATAGCTATAGCTTCCATATATACTGTTCATCCGATTTGTTATATTGGTTACCCACAGCCGTGGTGTGCACTCCGTAAGAACGATATTTGAGGAAATATATCAAATACAGCTCAGAAATATCTTTGCCAAATTTTATCGAGATCGGTTCCGATTTGGATATAGCTCCCATATATATCTTCATCCGATTTCAAATTAATTGTGCACCAAATGGGCAATACAAGTCCGAATTTAAAAGATACAAATGCTTCGGCATATTTAGTCCTTTGAACTTTAAATTATATTTATAATCATAGCGTGGATGATTGAGTTCTCCCATAAAAACTTTTAATTGTTATGTGGAGCTCTACTAAATTAGCAAAGTGGTGTAGGGTATCATAAAGTCGGCCCCGCCCGACTTTAAGACTTTCTTTACTGGTTTGTTATACTGCAGTTTGCTTTTGTTACTTCGTTCGTTTTGCAATTTATCTAAATGCACACACACACACATGTACATGTCACTAACGAATTTAACATGTCAATAGGTCAAATCTGAAAGGGGCATGTAATTTTACAAAATCAAAGCAATAGCTTTTTAATGCTCGTCACGAAAGAGAAAATGCCGACACTTTGTAGATTGTAATTCGAATATCATGGATATGTTTGGGTCACAGGGGAACAAGATTTAATAAAAATGTACATTTTGTTAAAAATCGATTAATCACAGAAGTCTTAATAATTCGGGTTTTGGGCTCAGGATCTGGAATGCCAAAAACGAAATTATTACTGAATATTTTGGCGATATGGGTTCTACCCAATATGAAATTTGGTTCCCAAAGCTTAGAGCCATATATAAAAATTTTTTGGGTTTGGGCCCAGAGTCAGGTATGCTAAAACTCTAATATTACTGAATATTTTTGCGATATGGGTTCTACCCCATACAAAATTTGGTTCCCAATACTTGGTACACACCAAAATTTTTGTGACAATAAGGATTTCAAAACACCAAATTACGGCCTTTTCGATTTGTTCAGGACCTTTAATCATACAAGAATGGACATATAGAGATTCTGTTAATACATGGACTGATATAAGTTATTTTTGTAGTATCCATTGCGAACTTCAAATACCAAATTTGAAACAATTCCGGTGAATAATGTCGCTAAAATCATTAAAATACTGAATATCAGGAGGTACCGTTATATGGAAACTATACGCAGGCGTGGACCTGCACAGATAATTTTCTGTCATAGGCTGTAGTATTTATTACGAATTTCAAATACTAAATTTGAAACAATTCCAGTGTATAATGTCCCTAAAATCATCAAAATACCGAATATCGGGTGGTACCGTTATATGGAAACTATACGCAGACGTGGACCTGTACAGACAATTTTTGTCATAGGTTGTAGAATACATTACGAACTTTAAATACCAAATTTGAAACAATTCCGATGAATATGTCCCTAAAATCGTCAAAATACCGAATATCAGGAGGTGCCGTTATATGGTGGCTATACGAAGACGTAGACCTACACAGACAATTTCCTGTCTCAGGTTGTAGTATCCATTACGAACTTCAAATACCAAATTTGAAACAATTCCGGTGAATAATGTCGCTAAAATCATCAAAATACCGAATATCGGGAGGTACCATTTTATGTGTGAGCTATACCAAAACGTGGACCTACATATCCCATTTTCAATACCAAAAGTGCTACAGACATAATATACATTTGAGTAACATTTTATCAACCTACTTCATTTCGTTCGGAAGGAAGAGTGATTTCCACAGGCGGATCACTTCGACGGCCCTACCGACAATTAAACGTCGTTATATGGACAGTTTCTCAAGAAACTATCGACGTCCTATCAATGATTAATCAAGATAGCTAGCTAAGGAAAATCTACAACTTTTCGACGGCGTATCGAAAACCTACCAATGATCTATCGACTACCATTGCTGTGATATTGGCTTATTTCGGTATGTTGTAAAGGGTCCTTCGGCGACCTATTGTATTTTTTCCTGTTATCCTATTTTGAAATTTTTTTTCAAATTAGGTTATCTCTTATAAATCTTCTTTACACATAGGCGACCTCTCTCTGAAAAAAAAACTTCTCTGTGTATTTTAAAAGCTTCCTTCTATAGGTCCCTCATATCGATTTCATTCCTTCCTCCTTCCCTTTTTAATTTCCCTACCCAAAATGGCAATTAACAACTAATAAACCTATTTGACCCAGAAATACAATCGTTTTCAATATCATTTAACGTTGTAACGCAAAACCAATGCAAATA